CTTCCCAGAGAGGTGGTGCTCTCACCTTCCCTGGAAATCTTCAAGAGGAGACTGGATAGGCACCTGGCTGGGGTCTTATGACCCCTCCCACCCCCAATGCTCATTCTTACCCATGGCAGGGGGTCGGACTAGATGATCTGTCTAGGTCCCTTCCGACTCATTGATTCTATGATTCAGTCAGATGTGTGTAAGCTTTCCTAAGCAGCAGCTTCTTTCATCGGATTCTGAGATGGCATCTGATGAAGTAAGCTGTTGCTTATAAAAGCTTATGTACCTCTAATTTAGGTAATCTGTAAACTATAATCTACCCTACCTTCCACCTGACTTCTAACATGGTTAACTGCACAGAGGTAAAAGCAACTTCACTCATAATGCCAGTCTAGATGAGTTCCTGAAGTCCATTTCAGCCATACTTTTCTATGATTCTGTGATGCAGAGCCGGAAAGGGGTTGACACACAGCAATCCTCTTCCGCATTTGTTACGCTACTGAACATTCCCACTTCAAAATACTGTTGCCCATGACAGCTGCCAGGACAGTTTTCCCCATTCTTTGCAGTTTACTCACAATATCTAGCCACTGGTGGACAGCTACAGCCACTTGTGTTCCCAAGGGTTTAGTTAATACAAGTACATCTCCTGGCACTGCATTGTCTGGCCTGCAAACAGAACAAAATCCATCATTAAACAGGAACATTTGGAAATTATGCTTTCACAAACTTATATATTCAATTTTACTTAAAAAGGCAGTTTTTTAAATAAATACAGCATATCCCAGCAGGGTTTGCTGCTATGTGATATGACTGAGTAAGCACCACGTGAATATATTAAAAGGAAGATTAGATCTTTTAATATCAGCACCTGCAGTTCCAAAAAAGTCATGCATCTCTTCTATTAAAGTTACTAGCTACACCAGTTGGGAGGGGGAGAGAGAAAGAGAGAGAGAGAAAACACTCTGTCTCAGTCCTCAGAAATAAAAGCATGAGCTAATCACCAGCTGGGGTCAGAAAGAAATTCCTTCACACAGTATTACATGCCACAGTATGGCATTCTAACAATGTGTTTTCTTACCTAGCTGGAAAGCTGTAAGCAGGACTATAGTCTTACAATTCTCATGTTCTTAACTATAATTAATATGGTAGCTGACATGCTTTAAAAACAACTGACACCCCACGCAGTTTTTAAGGACTCCAAATTAATGTTCAGATTTAAAGGTTAGAAAGCTTAAATCTGCCCCTTCTTGAAGGACCAGACAAATAAGCACAACACAAGAGAAAGAGAACTTTTTAAAAGAAAGCCAGCCAGTACAAGAAAGATGTTGCTTCTGGTACCAATGTAGCCAAGTGCTGAGAACAAAGAAAGCGGAGACGATATAATTTAAATTTGTGAGAAGTTACAAAAAAGAACACAACATAGTATTAAAATGTTTTTTCCTGTGATCTGCTGACAGTGTCCTGAGATTCTGTTCTGTAATTTAACTTACATTATGAATTCATTAGGCTGACAGACTGTTGTGGCCACTCCTCCAAGAACAATCCAAGGATTTAACACTGTTTGGCCACCGGTCACAGAAGTCCCTGCCTCTTCTGCTGCATCTTTGAAGCCCTGGATAATTAGAGGCATCACTTTGTCCCTTTCCTAGAGATCAAAGCACAAAGGTCAGAGTCTCACATAAGCATGGTCTAAGTCAGTTAGAAAAACAGGATCAGGGCATAAGAAACTCAAGTCTGCTTCCCCCAAAGTCAAAGGAAAACCCCATTTCCACAGAAGGTGGGGGAAGCCCTAGAAAGACATTAGCTTCCACATTCTGGCATTCCCATACTGTCCATTTCACAACTCCTTGGAAAATGTTGCAGAAGCATCTGCAAATGTAATGCAGGAGGTAAAGGAACTGAGATATGAAACAAGGATCACAGATCCAAATCCCTACTCTGAACAGATCAAGGAAAAGATCTTTAAATTTAGAGCAACTTCCTACTGTTTTAATTAGTGCCACAGGGAAAAGTAAGATTTGACACACTAATACCTTAAAAAAAAAACAAAAAAAAAACAGCAGTCCTCTGCAGCTCAGGGTCCCATGCAACTAAGCAACCCACTGCGTTTTGTGTTATTTCTTTCTCCAAAATGGTGGCCCTTTTTCTGCATAGCCACAGGTGCCAGAAGTTTCCAAATTCCAACTCGCGTTCTTCTGCATCAGGTCTGGATTGCTTCAAAGGATGCATCACAGCAATTGGCACAAAGGATTGCAGGATCTATTCAGGTTCTTCAGCCACACCTGTCAACACTGCATTCAAGTGCTGTTCCATACCTTACGGCTCTACTGCAGAAACAGGAGCACCATTTTGGAGATGACCTGCCACAGAAGAGCTGTTCAGCACCAGGCTGCTGGCAAACCACTTCAGAATTCCTGCCATGATGCAAGTAATAGGCTCTTTGGAATGGTACCTTGTAAGATCTCCCCTTTAACCCTGTTTGAAAAGGCTAACATTTAAGGCGACACCTCAGCATGTATAGTTGTTTGGGTCTATTTCTCATAACAGCAAGCACCACGGATCTTACCCTGTCTGTCATTTTATTACTGATTCCAAGGAGCATCAACATGTTGTCACACTCTGTGACCCCCATGGCATAAAGGTCACTTAGGACATTGGCACAGGCTATACGTCCCTGAAAAAACAAAAAAACAAAAAACCCACATCAAAATTTCCATACATTCAGACACATGTTTCACATAAACAGGATAATCCTGGCAGGAAGTGTTGAGAGGAAGACAATAAAACCAGCATGTGTTTTGCTGCACATGCCTGCTACCTGCCTGAACACTGAGTCAGATCCCATTTTAATGACAGAGACAAATTCCCAGCTGACTTAAATCAACAGAGCTCCATCAACTTCAGTCCAGTCCAATGCAGCAGGATCTTATTTATACGGTTTATACACTGCCCTTCCCAACAAAGGCTTAGGGAGGTTTACAAGAGAACAGACTTCAAAGGGGAATGAGAATACACTGAACAATGTTTCGGCCCAGCTTTGTTTGCTAAAGGCCTGCCCAAATAAGAATGCCTTGGTTTCAACGGAGTTCTAGAATGACAATTTGCACTAGCCAATGATCTAGTCCAAGACGTTTATATTGCACTGTACTCCTGTTCGCCCTACAGAAACAGGATAATGGTGACCTGAAGTCTTTCTCCTTGTGCATTGCCACAGAACTGTTTTCTAAGGCCACGTTTACACTGGCAAGTTTTCCTGCCAGACTTCTGGCAGACACTTGCAGCTGCTGACACTGCTGTAAAACTGCCACACATGCGCTTAGCTGCTTTTGCTGGTGCCACAAGTCCTTCCTGAGTGCAGTTGTGCTGGTGTAAGGCACAGTGCATTGCGGGTAGAAGCCCAGGGCTTACAGAGGCTCACATGACTGTTGTTGGAGAGCACACACTCTAAATCTCTGCCAGCAACTATAGATTGGCTGAGGGCATGCACCGTTCAGGAACGCTTTACTTGCTAGAAAGGTTGGCTTTTGCCAGCATGCATGACCGCATGTAAATCTACGGAAACAAGACGTAACTTCTGTTGACAAAACTTTGTAGCTTAGTCCCGGCTTAAGTTCTATCAGCTACAACTGAAGATAATCGTAAAGATACCACTCAAGGCATAACAATTATACAGATTTAAGCTGAAGACTAATTTAGCCTGAAAAGCAGGTTTTGACATAAAGAGAAGAACACAGCAGGAAGACAGTGAGCTCCCTGATGTGGGCACATGGATGAATATGCCAAGGGTATGGACGCATGATACAAACACTTTGGTGTAATTTAATCTGGAGGTTACTCTATAGGAGGACCTACAAATGGCCCTTAGCTGCTTCTCTCAAGCATACCAGCACTTGGGACTGACCCTTAACGTCGGAAAAACAAAGGTGCTTCACCAGCCTGTTCCAGGCCAATCAATGCTCCTGGCAAAGATCCTCATTGATGGACTGGAGCTGGAGTACACTGAACACTGCATATCTCAGCAGCCATCTCTCAAAGGTGGACAACTTCAACCAGGAGATCCAGTATATCCAGTATTTGCTTGGAGTGAGGGGGCTGGACCTGATGATCTGCAAGGTCCCTTCTAGCCCCTATATGAATCTACAGAATTCAATGTGCCAGCTCTGCCTTCAGAAGACTGTATAATCATATGTTCAATGATCACAACATCAGGACTCAAAAAAAGCTCCAACTCTTCTCTATGGCTGTGAAGCTTTGGTAATCTGTAGGGACCACCTGAAAAGCCTGGAACACCTTCACCACCTCTGTAAGATCCTTGCCATAAAGTGGGAGGATTGTCGCACAAAAGCCAGTGTCCTCACCATCCACATGGAAACACTGATTATTCAACATCAGTGGTGGTGGACAGGGCATTGTGTGCATGTACCTGATGTACATTTACCAGAACAACTGCTATGCTCCCAACTCAGCCAAGGACAAAGGACACATAGGAGTCAGAGGAAACACTTCAAGGACATCCTGAAGGTGAACATTAAAAAGTGTGGCACTGACATCACAAATTGGGAAAAACTACCTGGGGCAGAGGTACATAGCAAAGCCTTATGAGAGAAAGTACATCTTACTTTGAGGAAAACTGTCTCACCCTGGAGGCAGAAAAATGACAGAAACAGAAGGAAGAAAAGGAGACTGAGAAATCTGCAGTTCAACCCTCCCTTTAACCACCACTTGTAGTATCTGCCAGAGTCTGTGGCTCTAGGATTGACCTTCTTAGCCATCAACAGACTGATCGA